TATCACTAAGCCATTTTTAGTGCTTGTTCGGCCATTTGTAACATCAGGCTGTTTTCCGAAAATGGATGGGACAATCTGAAGACACAGGGGCCGTGGTTCAGCAATGCAGGGGCTCCTGCTGCAGCACTGGCCTTAAACCCAGCCTCTCGTTTCTGACTTTGTCTGGCAGGGCAGTTTTTGCTCAGTTTTGCTGACGCTATTATTTGTGGAGCCGTGCTGTAAACCAGCATACCAATCCAGGTTAAAATAACTCTTTCAAAACAACTGTGATCTGAGTCCACAAATGGTTTTGTCAGCATAACTGAGGGCTAACATGCTTTGTCCCAGCCGTAGGTACAGGAACGAGGGCAGAAAGTGTAACGGCAGTTTATTGACAGTGGAAACGACATGCATATATCATGTAGAAACAAAATCAGGACGGCAGACAAAAGGTATACCTAACTGAAATCGGGCATTGCAGAAGTTACTTCTGCATTCTCAACTATTTCAGTAGAAGAGAAAAATAAAGGAAATTTTTTCTGCAACAACGGAAAACAAAAATTCTCAACAGCTAATACTACTGTTGTAGTTTGGAAAGTTTGGTTTTTCTCTCTGGGAGCACTCTATTCTCATCAGGGCTCACCCAAAGTTTTGCTGGCAAAGCTGGCCACGCAGTTAGCTAGTTCAAAGATTCGAACTGAGTTAACTAGTACTTCTTGTTGGGGAGGAACAAGTGCCTTGGGGAGGTGCTGGAATTTCTTTATGGTGACAGTTCCCTAGTTCAGCTCCCTGCCCAGTACTAGTACAGTTGGAGCATCAATAGCAAGGCAGAAACGTGTGGGACATGGGGGAGGGGGGAAAAAAGAGATCATTACTTAAGCTGGACCTACCACCAGACTAAATATTTGTTGAACTGCCTCCCCAGGAAGTCAGGGTGTTAAATGTCTTTTTGCACTTCTTGGGTTTAGTAGGGTGCTTGACACAGGCTCGCTTGATATTTTTGTAATCAAGCTGGGACAACTCGAAGCTGTGTATGCAACTGGTCAGAGAAAAGTATTGGAGTAAAGGCTTGGTGTGAGACTGGGAGGATGTGTTGAGCAGGACTTTTGGGTGCGAATGGGAGGGAGAAGGTCACTGTCTGATACTAGTCAGTGTTTTGATGTGAACAAGGGAATACTGCACATATTTATTAAGCTTGCAGGTCCGTAGGTTGAATGGACAGGATTGGGACTCACAATATTTGGAGAAGCTGAGAAGTACAGGACAAAACCAAAGACAAATGCGGAGTTTCTACATTTTGGTATGTTTAGTCAATGGCATGGATTGAGGATGGAGAACAGCTGGCTAGATAGCAGCTCTGCAGAAGAGGACTGGAGACCATTCATAGTTTGAGAGCCAAGCACAAGTGAACATGTTATGCATTTTATGTACACAAAAAAGGCAAACTGGCTGGGACATATAACTGCGAAGTGTTATTTAATAATCATTTAGCTCTACAAAAGCAGATAAAGCCTAGGCTAGAATATGAACCCAATTTTGGACACTATACTTCAAGAAAAATGCAGATCAAATGGAAGGAGTCCAAAAGAGAGTAAACAAGCAAAGGTCTGGGAAATGTTGTCTATTAGGCAAAGCGAAACAACTGGCTTTGATCATTTTATGTAACAGAAGACTGTAGGAAAACCAAAGTTTTCAAATATATAAGGATAGATGCAAAGAGGAAGAGAATAAATTGTTCTCTGTAGTGATTGCAGATAAGGCAGGGAATAATGAGTATAAATTGTAGGAAGGGAAATGTAAGTTAGATATTCAGAAAGGTTTTTAAATAGTAAGGACATCTATGCACTGGGATAATTTCTCTACAAGAATATTGCATTTTTTCATGAGAGGTCTTCAAGAACGGGTTAGACAAAGTACTGTAAGGAATATTTTAGTATATTTTATCCAGCCTGAGCAGTCAGAAAGCATTAGGTGATTGGAGCTTCTTCATCCCTATTTTCTGCTGCTTCAGGTACCAAGGGCTGTGGGCACGAATCCTGTGTCACTGATAGAAGTGCTGCCCCATGCCTACCTGGTTACCACGGCTTCTGCTCCACCACCTAAGCCACTCATTTGCGTTCACCGTCAGACTGAGCCAGAATAGCTGAAATGGCTGAGAACAGTAAAGCTTTGTCAATATGGGTAATTTTGAGTGGAATGGATAAAGCAGCACTCAGGTGAGCAAGCCAGAAGGGTACGAGGGCAGGAATAGTTTTGCAGGGATCAGTGCCAAGTAGCCGGGAAGGGCAGTGGTAGGAGCTGGAAAAGGAGCATATCTGTATTGTGGGTCTCCTGTAGAGCTTACCCAGAGCCTTACCACTTCGGAGTTCTTCATAGTTTTGGTTTTGTTTTTCTTTCCGTTTGCTATAGTAAACAGAGTTCCTCCATAGCTCTCGCTATGTGGTCATTTCAAAGCCAGAAAAATGTGCGTGGCTTCGTTAACTTCGAATGGAGTATGATTTTACAATTGACGCCGCCTTCTGACATGTCAGCCCCATCCTAGATTGCTGAGGGAAGCAGTGAAAGATTTGTGCCCTCTTGACATTTTCAGAGGTCAAATATGAAGTCCTCTGTCATGCTGCCAGCCCAGAGAACTACAACCCAGTGCTTGTTTCCAGAGGACTAGTCATGAGAGACTGAAATTGTTCTTCACAAGATTCTTCCTGTAGCAGTTTTACATTACTTACTATTTAATGTGTATGTGTTTTGGGGGAAGGTTTTTCTTGCTATTTGCTCATTCTTCTTGCTTTGTTCTTCTGTATGCAAGAATTTTCCTGGACTACCTGTGACATCAGCTGAACTCCTGCAGTTGACTTCCCTGACCATTTGCTATGGTCTGGGAAATGTCACTTAAAGTTCATGTGCTGCCTCTTACTGATGGCAGAGGTAGGCAGGAAGGGGAGAGTAAAGTATTACTGCCGTGCCTGCACATTCCGGTGGTAGAGAGCTATGGAATACTCAAGATGAGGCCTGCTTCGCTTGTCTCCAGGGTACATTTTTATACCAGTTTATATATTGCATGGTATCTTTGCCAAGGTGTACCTGAACTTTTATTTCACTTTTCTGTGGTATGCATACAATGAAAGAAATGCGTGCTTATGTTGAAGCATGTGTATATTCACAAGCAGTTCGTACGGCTTGAAAAGAGTATTTTCCAATGTTATTTGTTGCTTGCTCTTCATCGAAGTGTGATGGTCAGACTGCCCAGGAGATGATGTCTCAGCTAGCCAGTGAAGTTTTTTGTATTATTTTTGCAGTTATTGCAAAACCATATCTCTACGCTTCCTTTGGTTTATCCCAAAGTGCAATCAGTGCACTCCCATTTCACAGCTTGCAGAACGTTCTCTGGTGTTTTCTCTCCGTTAACCAGATTGTACAAAACTATCTTTAATCTAAACAGGAACTCTTAGACCCATCATTGTAGGGGTCTGTATACTCACATGTTATGGTTAGTTTTCAATTATTATTAATTTATTCTACAAATTATTCTTCATTCACTTCTGTAGTCTGAATCCCATCTATGATGCCCTGGTATGTTCAGAATTCCTGGTATATGGTCTAAGTTCTACTTTTTACCCCACTGATGTGAGAGACTGTCTATATTTTTCAGAACTTGTGTCTGTCTTAACACTTTTTCTTTGGCTACTCCATTTTGTTCTGTAGGAAAGAGTTTAGAAGTCTACACATGCATTAGAAGTAGTTTCTTACATTGCATTTATGCAAGGGCTTTTATTTTTTAATAGTCTTTTGAGATTTGATTATGAAGTTACATTTGAGAAATATTTAATCATTGGTCTTAAGTGACAAATAATACAAGTAGACTATATTTCATAGGACCTAGATGCAATACTTTGTACTAACTGTACAAGTTTAGATTTCTGTCTTGAAAAGATTGCAACTTATCTTTAAAGCTGAAATTTTCTAACTGTGCTGTTTGATGGTAATTTAGAAACTTCACCAGGCAGTTTTAAATTTGAGTATTTCAGAAATATGAAAAGAAATTATTATGTTCCCTTCAGCTAGTTCTGAATACAAACCACAATGTGATTGTTTTAAAAAACAAGCTACTTGCGGATTTGAGAAAACTGTGAGGAGCTAGCAACACCATTGTCACCCTCTTTCTCTGGTTTTACTGTGGGACGTGAGCTTTGTGTGCTCCAGAGGAGCCAGGCAGAGTGAGAGATTCCTCCAGGGTTAGTACGGTCCTGGACAGCAGAGGATCAGTTTCTTAAAACATGATCCATTTTGGCTCTGGCTTTTATACTGGGCCTGAGGGGACAAGGAGGTCTGCTATATGGAGAGCTGCTCTTAATTTCTCAAGTCTTGGTTTTCTGTCAACAGACAGATGTACTTTCCTGTCCAAGTGTTTCTGTTCTCACGATAGTTTCTGGATATATATATATATATTGCATGGAGCAATATATATATGTTCTGTGGACCTGCAGAATTTGCAGCCAACCCTTGCATGTACACAAAACACAAGTGCAGATTAAGTAAAGACTTGCAGCTTCCTTTGACATTAAAAGGTAGTAAAGAGGATTTACAGTTCATTAGGATCCTCCCCATCTTTCCAACCATTTCACCTATATCTTCAATGTTTCAGTGCCATTCCCTTATTTAAAGGTCCTGGGTATCTTACTCTATGTTGAAGCTTGTAAAAGACATTTGTTGGGGGGCAGTTTTGACTCATGTTCTTGGACCCAACTTTGCGAACAGTGGTTAATTCGACTAGGAGTGTACCCATATTAGTCTCTTCAGCGGCCCACAAAAAGTCCAGGTCAGTTCCTGTAGCTCCTGTGCTGTCAAATGGAGTATGTCAATTCACGTTGCTTTATACTAGCTGGAGATCTGGTCCAGTATGTTGAAAGATGCAGGAGGCAGTTGCTGTGGTGTGTTTGTTAACTTCGTTGGCCTGAAGGGATACGCAGTGAGAGAAACTTCCATTATTCTAATTCATTCTCTACATGTTTTCCTCTCAACAGCTCTGAAAAGTCCAGCTGCATTTCATGAACAAAGAAGGAGTTTGGAGCGGGCCAGGGTAAGATGTAATATTGTCTTTAATGTTTTGGGAAAGTCAGAGGTAGTGTGTTTTATGTTTTGGGCATACTGTAGCTGTTAATGAGATGCAGAAGGGAATTGTTCATATTCTGGACGTAATACAGCAGTATGTAGTGAGAGATGTATTGGATGGGATGTTCTTTAGTGTTTAAGGCCGGGTTGGATGAGGCTTTGGGCTACCTGGTGTAGTGGAGGGTGTCCCTGCCTGTAACAGGGGGGTTGGAACTAGATGGTCTTTGAGGTCCCTTCCAACCCAAACCATTCTATGAGTCTATGATTCTTTAGCTTCAGTGTGGTGGTGGTTAACCCCCAGTGAACTACTTGTGCCTAAAAACCATGGTAAATGGTGCCTGGATTTCCCCTGGAGTCTTCTTTCTGGAAGTCACTGATATTATTCTTCCCTACTGTCCATATATTTTACATTTTTATTTTTATGGTGTCTGTTTTGTCCTTAAAGGCTTCTATCATGTGGAGCTCAATTCCACCTTTGAGGAAGGTGTATGGTTTCTCTGTTAACCTGCACATGCTATTGTTTATCTAGGGCATTAGAAATTAAAAAATTAATAGAGAGGATCCCCCCGAAAATCTTGTAACGCTGAAATCACACAGACTTCTGGCTCTATAAAAAGAGGAAGCCAGACGTCACACTTCATGTGGCACCTTTGCTAACTGGGGGGGTTTCTTGATGATTTCTGTTCCTCAAAAGGCCTCTGGGGATATTTTTTTTCTGATTAGCCTACAGGGGAATAAAACCTCTTACGACTGCTGGGCTAAGTTTTGTTTTAAAAGTGAAATCAACATAAGTAAAAAAATAACAGCTGTGATTACAAGCTGTAAGGGAGTGTTAGCACTTTAAACTGTGGAAAGATTGGTACAGTTGACTTTGCATTAAGACCAGTGTCCCAAAGGCTTTTGCTTCTTCCTCCTCTTTTTTTCCTAAAACCTTCTTATTAAGTTAATATTTTGGTGTGGGCAATTGAGCAAGTATAGTGCAACTTTCCGATTAATATTTATTTTCTCCTGATGGCCCGTCCTGATGGCCAGCACTTACCAGTCCGTTACCCACTGCTCCCAGATTCCTGAGCTGTGTAAAGGGTAACATGCTCAGCCCAGACAGAATCATCTCTGTACATTGCTCTTTGGTGCATTCTCCAAAGACAAAAGCTAAAAGCAGGTCTGGAAATGAAATTAGTCTTGTCATAGCATTTAGGGTCTGCCTGCCAAGGGGCTGCATGGGGCCTTTAGCTTAGTAAATAACATATCTTTAAACAAAAAAAGGAGTATGCCCAAAGAACAAGTCAGCCCTGAATGGCAGCAGTATATGAAAGTATTTGCTGTGAACAATGGAACCGGTGCATTTATCTTGAATGTAAAAAGAAATGTCTTTAATTCCACCCTGACACAAGTTAGTGGTGTTGCATAAAGGGGGGAAAAGAGGGCTTCAGCTCATGAGGGAGTCCTTTCCAATTTTTGTTCTGTGGGGCAGCAGTGCAGTTAGACTGAGGTGATTACAGTAGAAGGTCATCTTTAGAATAAGCTCATTCTCTGGGTACTCTGGGGCAGAAGATATGCCCCTTCTCTGTTCTGTGTTTATTTAGATCTCAGTAACAACTAAACATGGTTGTTTCTCTTGTTTGTGCTGTCCAAGATAACCTCACTCCTGTGTCTGATCAACTAAAATTGGTTCTTGCTTGTCTATTTTTGCTGCAGACAGAGGACTATCTGAAACGGAAAATCCGGTCCCGGCCAGAGAGATCAGAGCTGGTTAGGATGCACATTCTGGAAGGTATGACACATTCTAAACAGGAAGACATCAACCATAAACTTTATCTTAATTACATATTTAACAGCTTTCAATTTTGTCTCTGACCCCCAAGTCTTTCTTGCGTTTGGGAGTGGGCAGAAGATCGTGCCTGTTGCATGATTTCTTGGGAGGGATTCAACTCTGCTTGCACAGAGATTCTCAGAAGAATCTGTTAGATGAATTCAAATTGTGGAGTTTTATGTAGCTGAGCAACAACGAAATAGAATGACCATGGATTGCTCTTCTACTGAGGGAAGACACCGTAAAATATCCAAGAGGGAGTGAAGCAGATTTGATCTAATTAGTAAGCACCTCAGTTTCAGAGAGGGAGTACTATGCTGCTGCTGAGCACCACATCTTTGGACACAACTGAAAGGGAACAGATGAACGAGAATTAGGTGACATCAGTTCGAAAACAATGAAGTTGTCCTATTCTAGAGTCACAAGGACTACCGTAGTTATCTTTATAACTTAAATATACATAATGTCTATAATATCTTTATAGTGCATAGTTATCTATTGGTATCTGCGACTATTTTTCTGTACAGTTATTTACTGTTATCCACAGTTACCTTTCTGAATAGAAGTAAAATACTGGTAAAGCGCATAGGTTGTCCATTGCTGGATTGATGCCATTTTATTTACTTTCCCCCGAACAGAGACCTCAGCTGAACCCTCCTTGCAGGCTAAGCAGCTGAAGCTAAAGCGAGCCAGACTGGCAGATGACCTCAATGAGAAGATAGCGCAGAGGCCAGGTCCCATGGAGCTGGTGGAGAAGAACATCTTGCCTGTGGAATCGAGCCTGAAGGAAGCCATTATCGGTAAGGCCAGAGGAGGATCTATGTTGAGGGTGTTTCCCACAGGTTGCTGTGACTTCCTGTCAATTGACCTGCCTGTCTAAGAGAGTGCAGTCCCATGGTTGGTCTTGTGTTCCTGCCTCAGAATCACAGGCTTTCAGCCTGAAAAGGGTTCTGAAAAGTAGAACTCCCTCTGGTCCAGATGGTGCTACAGAGACATTAAATTGTAGGGAGTCTGGACATCCCAGAATAACAGGAATGCAACTGCATACCGTAAAGGCTTGAAAGACTGTTAAAGATTGCATTCCCTAGATTCTCTCCTTAAAAATCCCTCTCTCGGTATAACATGTCAGCAACCTTGGTCAGGGAGACTCCCCTGACTAACTCAGATCAGGGTGAGGAGACAGAATATAAACAGGTGTGATGAAACAAAAGCTGTCTGTGAACTTGAAAACTTCAGAGGGTTCAACCCCTTTAAAAATAAACCAGAACAGATGTAAATCATGCCAGTGCCATTCCAAGGGCTGAAAGGAATGCTGAGGAATAGCCTTCCCACTGCCTCAGCAGTGCTCTTTCCCATCTCCCCAGACTGAGCGGTCTGTGTGCGCCTGTGGTTATTCATCCCCTTGAACACGCACAGCTACTTTAAAGACAAATGGGACACAACTGTGAGCAAAACAGAATACTTTTCGTGAAAAGGAAAAGGACATTGCTGTGGGAGAGCCTGGCTTCACTGTTGCACAAGAAGTGGTTGAGGAAGAGAAAGAGTAAACTTGTGAACTGGAGCATTAGACATGCGGCTTCCTTCTGACTGAGCAAAGTACATCTCTCTGGATTTCTGTTGTTTTTACATTAGCTGCAAATTGTACACTCACCTGAATTTATCTCCTGGACACGTAGATAGACAGAAATGCTAATAGCAGTCAGGGCCACCACTTAATCCATAGCCCTTGTTGCTTGTAAGACTAGAGGACAATTTGGGATTCTGTCTTGAAGAGGGATTCTACCTTCCACCACAGAGGATGAACACCAAAGAACCCATGACTCAACCTTACACTGTCTAACCTTCTTCTTCTTTGGGGCCAGATGATGATCAAATAAGCCATGCCACAGATCTGGGTTTGGGCAGAGTTAAGTAGCTCCTGTTATACTTCCTGGTCTTGTTTGGGTAAGAAGCAAGGGAAATGGTTCACCCCAGTCTGTATCATTTTATCATACTGATAGCAGAGATGAATGTAAACACTTAAAACTGATCCAGCTTGGGCTCTGTTCTCTCATTTTTAGTTGGTGCTTTAAGCACAACTCAAACACAACTCTCTCCATGCCTTCATTATCTTTGTGAAACATCTAGCGTCAAGTGAAATAATTTCTTATTCCACTTTAAAGACCACAGTTGATGTTTGTGTTTTTAGTTGGACAGGTGAACTATCCAAAGGTTGCAGACAATTCCTCCTTTGATGAGGACAGCAGTGATGCCCTCTCCCCAGAACAGCCAGCCAGCCATGAGTCCCAGGGGTCTGTCCCATCGCCGATGGACTCCCGGATCTGTGAGCCTCTCCCTAGCACCACTGGCACATCACTAGCTCAGGTGAGAATGGAGGTGGCCTCTTGCAGTGCGCTGGAGCTTCACAGCTACTGCTGATTTATGGCAGAGGATCCTAAAAAGTGAGACTGAGGGATCCTTAAAAGGTATAGTCTGTGAGATTTCACAAGGGGTCTTAGCTCTGTGTGGTGTTGGAGAAGTCCTCTGGTTATTCAGAAGCCCCCGTAGTGGTGCCACATGGGGAAGGGGGGCATCATTACTTGGTGATACAGCCTGTGTGCGACTGATTCTGGCAGACAAAGCTGGGAGATACAGGTGTGGGATTTTGATTTCTTTTACTCCCTAAGAAGTTGTGCTGCTTCTCAGGGACAACTGAAGCAGTGGGTTAAAGGAGTCTAATTAATGACTTGAAACTCTGCTGCTTCCCTGTAAGTGGACCCTTCCTGCACTCTCTTAAACTGCTTCCCTCTTCCTATGTGTATTCATTATGGCTTTTTCTGTCCCTCCAGGGTACGTCCCAATTGCAGATCAGCGCAGACTCCAGTGAAACACTTTTCCTACCTGAACAGCCACCCCCACCTCTGCCACCTCCGCCTCTTCTGCCCCCTAGTCTTACCAATGGAGCGGCTCTTACTGCTGCCAAGCCCCCACCAACACTCATTAAGGTACTGTTTGGGCTGATTTCTTCATTGTTGTAGTCTGAAGGAGGATAAGATGGTTACTCTGAAGAAGGTTTGGAGTTGGAAGTATTGTGTTAACAGATGCAAAGGAACGAGAGCTTATTTCTCACTAGTTTCTTCCTCTGACACATATATATAGTTGTAACATATTAAATAGGTTTTTCTGTTCCATGATGTATTCACCTCCTGTAAAATGGGTCCTGAATGCAAAATGTTTTGAAACAATCAGTGTTATCCATCAGAGTCAATGAGTCCGCACTGGATGAGCAAGTGAGCTGGTGTGCTAGGAAAGCTGTCACCTGCATTATGGTGCAGTGTAAGCTGCTGCGGGTGCTGTGACTATACTGTTGCCTGAGTTAGAGAAGCGTGGAAAGCCCCTGAGGTCAAATCTGCAGAATTTTGAAATGAAAATCCCAGTGTGTGTTCTGGTTTACATGGGCTGTTATTTCAGTGTTTCCATTCTTATTTGCTTCCTCCTTTTCTTCTAAATAGCAAAGCCAGCCCAAGTCTGCTAGTGAGAAGTCTCAGCGCAGTAAAAAAGCCAAGGAGTTGAAGCCGAAAGTCAAGAAGCTAAAATATCATCAGTATATTCCCCCGGACCAAAAGCAGGACAAGGGAGCTCCTCCCATGGATTCATCTTATGCCAAAATACTGCAGCAGCAGCAGCTCTTTCTCCAGCTTCAGATCCTCAACCAGCAGCAGCAGCAGCACTACAACTATCAGACCATCCTGCCAGCCCCACCAAAGTACGGGTCGTAAATGGCAGCTCTCTCTTAGGAAGCACTTGCTTCCCCAGTACTGTTATGGGAGACACTGTGTTCTGAATGTGAGGTGTGGCGATTGGGTGTAACGCACTCAATCTTGTCAGGTTACGGTGGGCCTCAAAAAGGGCTGGTTTCAGACGAATGGGACAAAAGCAGCTGAAGTGAGTCGGTTGGCAGAGTAACGGGCATGGATATAGTCAAAGGCATTGGTGTGCTTTAATGTCTAGGGTGGCACTAGTGACCCCCCAGATGTTTCTGAACATATATGATTGTTGACACTGAGGGCCTCTGGTGCCTTTCCACCTTGGTTTTGATGCCTGTGTTTTTTCTTTCCCTGCAGGCCTCCAGGAGAGCAGCAGAGTGGTGCCAGTGCCCCTGCTGTACGCAATCTCTCTGCCACAGTCAGCAGTGCGTCTTCAGTATCCTCTGGTTCCGGTGGGCTTATGCGACAAAACAGTAATGCTGCAGTGGGCAAGCCTGGCCCTCTCCCTGCCAACCTAGATGAGATGAAGGTAAATGTCCTGTGAAGCTGTGCAGCCCCTTTTTTGTCATTGTCAGAGGGCAGTACTGAGCGATGTTGCTGTCCCAGAGCAGGGCTGAGGTGGACAGACAGGAGTTAGTGATAGCAGCTGGTGTTGCTACCCTGCAGTCTGTGCCTGAGGTTTGTTAGCCCGCAGGAGGGTCCGTTTAGTCCTTTGCCCCACGGCTCTGGTAGCTGTTAATAGTTGCTCTGGTTAGAATGTATGTTCTCTTAATGTTGCCCTCTTTTTTTTTTTTTCCCCCATATTAGGTAGCAGAGCTGAAGCAAGAGCTGAAGCTGAGGGCTTTGCCTGTCTCAGGCACAAAGACGGACCTGATTGAGCGTCTCAGAGCTTACCAAGAGCAGAACGGTGCAGCCAGTCAAACAACCCCCACTCCCAAGCCCAGCACAGCAGCCATCCTCCCAAAAGCTGCTGAAGTGGTGGTAGCCTTCCCAGCTGCCAGGCTGAGCACAGGGCCAGCCCTGGTCACCACTGGCATTGCACCAGCAGAAGTAGTTGTGGCCACAGTCACCGGTGGCGGCGTGATGAAGTTTGGCAGCACAGGCTCGACTCCTCCTGTTTCTCCAACTCCTTCTGAGCGCTCGCAAATGAGCACAGGGGACGAGAACTCGGCCACCGGAGACACCTTTGGAGAGATGGTGACTTCCCCCCTGACCCAGCTCACCTTGCAGGCATCTCCAGTGCAGTTCCTGGTGAAGGAAGAAAGCTCCAAGTCTGCCTCCTGCAGCGTAAATGCGGCACCCAGGTCGGAGCGATGTAGCATTGGTAACAGCAGAGATGCAGAAGTTAGGGACAAAGACCAGATGTTGCAGGAGAAGGACAAACAGATCGAGGAACTCACCCGCATGCTGAAGCAGAAGCAACAGCTGGTTGAGATGCTTAGACTACAGCTAGAGCAGGAGAAGCGCTCTCAGCAGTCACTACCGGCCCCAGCGGCTGCAGGAGAAGGAACAGCCCTTGCCTCCAACCCAGTAGCATTTGGCACCCAGGTCAAGAGTGAAAACGGTTTCCTGAGTTGCCAGGCTGCAAAGCAATCCAGTGGCCAAACAGACCAATTCAGCCCTGCACCAACCACTAGCCAAATGGACACTTCGAATCCAAGCCCAGTGCCAAAGAAAGCCGTGATGGTGAAGCAGGAGGTGCCAGCCGTGGAAGCAGAGCCACCGTGCCAGTCCCACAGCCCGCGGCTTTTCCTTGGCCAGCAAGGGAGCGCCCTGAGCGACCTCATCAAGGGCACCCCTCCCCCCACCCTCATCACCGACTCCACAGGGACCCACATCGTCCTCACCGTGACCAAGCAGAGCGCCGAGAGGCAGGGCCTCTCGCCCCATGGGAAGGCAGGGAGTAGCTGCCCGGCCTTGCAGGTAGGCAAGGGTTAGATCACATCCCTGCTGCAGGCAGTCAGCTTCCTCTCCCCCTCTTCCTACTCCTGTGGTTCGCGTTACCGTAGGATGACTTAATGCGTTGGAAATTGAATGCAGTAAATGCTAAATTGGCTGAGTTGCTTGCTATGATGGCTGGTAGTTCACGGCTTTGTAGAACAGAGCAGTCTAAGCAGATCTTCAGCAAAAAGACTGGAATTTGACAATGATGAACTGTGTACAGCAATGCAGGATTGGCTGTGTGCATCACAGGCTGTTCAGCATTCTTCCAAACACGTGGTTCTGCCTTTTGTCAGGCAGGATCTCGGGCTTGGAGGACAAGGGCTTGCTGCCGCATTTCACTAGTTTTTGAGAGAAACACTATGCCTGTGGTAGTAAAAGAAGCAGAGTGTATTTCACTGGGTCTTTACTGGAGAGATTGTAGTCGCAGTGATACATAGGTCACTTTGTCTATTGAGAGCTGAAATCAGACCCTGGGAGCATAATTTTTGCTTTTCGACTGCTCTTTGTTTTAATGTGTGTCAGTATTTCAGTGTTAACAGTCTTTCAGCAGAGATGATCTACTATTCCCCTGTTGGCATAAGCTCAGCACTTAAAAGAAGTGTTCTGAGTGTTTCTTCCAGGAAGGGATAAATATGCCCAGGTTTTATGGCATAAGTCAAACCCCAGCATCCTCCTCGGCATCAGACAAGATTTTAATTCTCTGCTGCCACATTTCTTGCACCTTTTGCAGAGCAAGTGGCAGCGTCTACCATCAGTGGTGGGCACTGAGCAGGCTGCACTTGCTGTGTAGCAGTGAGATGCCAGGCAGCTGTCTAAATATCAGTGTCCAGTGTCACCCTTGATACCCCAGGGTATCTCACCTGAACTCCAGCCACTGCTCCAGAAGGGCACAGGTCGCGTGTCAGGTCTGCCAGCCCTCGAGGGATGGCATGGATAGCCCAGGGATTTAGAGTGGTACTACCTCCTCATTTAAGACTCTGAATCCAACCCCAATCTGATTTCTCTGCTTGGTGAAACAGAACGATTGACTGAATTTCCTAAAGAATAAAGAGTAGGGAAAAACAAACTTCATAAATCCTTTAAGAAACACAAGCCTTGTTCCATGTTGTGTCTGGGGAATAGCTCCTCATGGATACCCTTTTCTTTCCAGAGAGTACAATCATCGCCCGCTAAAACTTCCAGCCAACCGCAGTGTCAGCTACCTGCAAGCACCCCTCAGCAGCCCACACAGCAGCAGAAGCAGCAGCCCACGCAGCAGCAGCCCCTGCAGCAGCAGCAGCCCAGAGGACTAAACCAATCTGTCAGAAAGGTAGTGCTCTGCCTGCTCACTTTTCTTCTTTGTTTTTCTTCACCTGCTGCCGGGGTTCGTAGCAGCGGTGGGAAGGGGACACGCACGTGCAATCCTGGTCAGAGACCATCATCACAGCGAGTGAGATCTCACAGCAGCTTCTGCCACAGCTTGCAGCTGCACGGAGTGTTTGGTTTTCAGTTTGAAGGTGGCAGCAGAAGGGGTGCCTGGCGTAGCCTCTCCATGCCCCTGCCTCCTGCTTTTTTGAACTAGCTGCAATGGAGAGCCCATTGGGCATGAGGTTTCAGGAGCACTAAAAGTGTCCCTGAGGTCTTCCCCTATGGGCATGCTTGGAAGTGATGTGGAGGCTTTACAGCAAAGAGCCCTGGGCTAAACGCTGACAATTCACTAGCGTCATCTGCCCTTTGGTCCCACATGTGGGCAGAATACCAGCTGGTGTTTTAAACAAGCATTGTCTATCAATTAAAAATGATGTGACACCAGAGTGGGCAGCCTTGGTTCACAGTGGTGTCCCTGATTCTTGCAGAGGTGCTGCTGAACTGAAAATGTGGTTATTACATGGAGGGAGGGTGGTGTGGGCAGTATTAAGGTGGCTTGTGAGCTCTGAGCAGGGCAAAAGGATGTGACCTTTTACTCTCTGGTACTGATGAACATGCCGTGATTTCCATTCCCGTGCCTTTAGCATAATGATGTTAATCATCTCTTTGTGAAGTGCAATGCAGGTTCAGGAAAGAGAGCTCCTCTGGCTTTACCCCTTCTGCAGGTGACGGCTGTAAAGAGATCCTGCTATGCCATCTCCTCCCTTTCTAGCCCACATTAGGGATGACTTAGCGTTCTCTCTGACATGTAATTAAGATACAGAAAGATTACAAAGAGTTTTTAGAGCTTGGAGGATCACTGCTGAGTCAGATCCTGGAAAGGATGTGAAGGCAGGAGTCATTTCTAGTGTAGTCTGAGATATCCACTTTGCAAAGGGTCAGAGACCTTTGAGGAAATGCAGAAGGTAAATGAAGGCACTTTTTCCCTCAGACTCCCTTAGCTCATGTGCTGTGGAGGCAACTGTAGCGACTCTCCTAATCCTTTTGCCTCCCTGTAGGGTCAGAAGCCAGGTCTGCAGGTGGTCACGGGGCAGCTGCCTCACACCATATTGTCTTTCTCAGCACCCCCATACCTGCAGCCCTTCTTCCCCAACGGTTTCCACAAATGGTCCCTGAAAATTGGTGCTCCTGGGAAAGCCAGGTCAAAAAAGGTACCCTCCCAGCACATCCCAGTGGCCTGTGCCACAACGCCAGTTTCCAGCCCCGTCTCGGGTAGAGCGCGGACCCCAGAGCAGCTCTGCTGGGCAGGATCTGGTGTTGTTCCTCTACCTGTCACAGAACAGACAAACAGGGAAAACAGGATGGGGAAGAGCATCCACACATACAGGTGTTGGAACTGGCGTTCAGCTACTGCCCGGGGACCACTGCCCCAGGGGAGTGAGCTTCAGTGTGGGTCATGCATAGCTGCTGTAGAGGCAAAGACCTGATGCACACTGTAACTTTTCTTATGGGCAGTTGTATGCTGATTCATCTGGTAAAGCTGAGTCATGAGCGCCACTTCCTGCAACACTTGGGGTTTCCTTTGGAGGTCTCTGGTGCTGCTGAGCGCTCTGGTGCTTTCCACCCACCAGGCTGTGACACTTGCTGCTAGTAAAGCCTGATTGTGCCCCCAAAGCAGCACTGCAGAGGGAGGCGGGTGAAAGATAGGTCCTGGATGTATTGCGCAGAGTAGGCTGAACACAACAAGGGAAATGCCCTTTCTCTCCAAAGTGCTAGAGGAATCCCCCACTTGGACAGATGAGGCTCTCCCCATCTAGGAGCAGCCTGGTAGTGGTTTGTGGCATGGTTGCTTTAGCATTAGAAACATCAGCAAATGATTTCCAGCTGTGAGTTGGAAGGGAAATCGGTCTTCCTCCCCTGCAGCCAGGGCAGAGTGCACAGAATACACGGGAGAAGCCAGGCTGCTGGGAGCAGAGCAGTGCAGACCTCTGAGCAGCGCTCGCCAAGAGAGGGGGTGATGGTCTTTCAAAGCAGCTGTGAGACAGGAGTTGATGTAGACTTTTTCTGATCACCCCATCTGCCTTCATTCTAAACAGCCCTCATCGCAGCCCAGCTCTCCTGCTGCCCCTTCCCCATCCCAGATGGACCTGGAGCAGCAACAGCACACGTCGCTTTTTGGAACTCCTCCTCCTCCTCTCCCTGTTCCCTCAGTCCCGATGAAAGAGCCACCAGGCTATGAAGAAGCCGTGAAGCAACAGCCAAAGGCCCAGGTAAGAGCAGTTCTTCTCCCTGGTTTCCTTGGAGAGCAGGTGAAAAGTTGCCGTTGTGAATCTGCTTAGATTCCTGATCTGGGCCAGTAAAAGAGAATGGAGACACAGCCACACCTCCCTAGCTGAATTCCTTCTGGAGGGTTTGGGGCAGACCCTCAACCACAGGTAGAGATCCCAAGCCGCTCACTGCCTGGTGAGTGTTAGTACAGCTGTTGCTGACTACACCTTTCCATCCAGTAACATTCTGGGGTTACAGAGGATTCTGGTGCCAGGCCTCCATGTTATCTGGCTAGATAACAGCCCCATCCCTGGGGCGAGGGAGGAGAGCCAGCAGCCAAGCGTGTTGCTGGATGTGGAAGCTCCCCTGGTAAATAGGAAGCTAATCCTGAGCTCGCTCTCCCCAGGAGAACGGCTGTTCCAGCCAGCAGATGGACGACCTGTTTGACATTCTCATCCAAAGTGGAGGTAAGGAGGCAAAGGCAGTGTTTCCCATGGTCTTTGGGTTTGAGCCTGGGGATTATAGAGCACTGAGGGGGGGGAGTCTGTCATGGTCCAGGTCTTTGCTCCTGCGTCCCTGCCAGTGCCTTTAGTGATGGCAGTAGTCATTGAGGCACTGAGGGAGATGTCAGTCAGCCATTAGCATGATACAAAGCTTCTTGGTGGCTCTGCTGCATCAGATCTGGGCACATCTCTTCTGCGATACTGGACTGAGCTTCAATTCCCCGGAGGCAGGCTGAAAACTCCCCATAGCAAGCCAAGCGTGGGCACAGGATGAGTTTCCTTATCCCAGTTGGTGGCCAGCGATGGCTCAGTCTGGGGGGGGTCCCTGTTGACCTGGTAGGTGGGAGGGATCCTTCCAGTGTTCAGCCAAGTTTTCCCTCACTGTGGCCTGCCTGTTCGTTCCTTGTACAGAGATTTCTGCTGACTTCAAGGATCAGTCATCCCCAGCTGGGAAAGAACCACCCGTGCCCCCAGCCTGCTCCTCCCCGCCCAGCAGCCACCATTCCTCAGAGCTGGCGGTACCAGTGTCCTTGGGGCAGCAGGTGCCCGTGGGCCGGCTGGAGGACTTCCTGGAGAGCAGCACCGGCCTCCCGCTGCTGACGGCAGGCCACGATGGGCCGGAACCCCTGTCCCTGATTGATGACCTCCACAGTGAGATGCTGAGCAGCTCGGCCATCCTGGACCACCCGCCTTCACCTATGGACACCTCGGAATTGCACTTTGCTCACGAGCCATCCGGGGGCATAGCCCTGGATCTGGCTGAGGCTAACTTGGACAGCATGGACT